CACTGTTTAAGTATTCATGGTTCTTTTATAACTGATCAAACCATAGTGTGTGGTAGACTAGTTTTGAGGTATATTTCTTCAAAAATACACAATTAAAAAAAATCTAAAATTTAACTAGAATGTTCAAGTACTTTCATATTATACAGGATTAATTTTCATCGAATGGCCATGGTATGAAAATAAATATTTCATGGTTGGCGGTATCCACGAGATGGATATGATAATTTTCATATTAAAATATCAAAATAAATTCTGTATTAAATCCTGAATTTTCTGAGTTATTTTACATACAATTTTTTCTTTTCTGACATTACATTTGTCTAAATTTAGAAGAAAGTAGTCCGGTGAGAAACCAGTGGAAGTAAGGAAAATATGTTGTTCTGCATTGAAAAATATTTTTGATAGTGAAAATACGTAGAGATGAAAATAGCAAATTTTTTTCATCAATATTCCTCAATATGTCATTAATAAGTATTTATACATATATATTTTTACTTTTAATTATTTAATATCCTGTGTAATAATAAGGTCTATGCAGTTGTTGTCATAAAAAGTAATTGGAAAATAAAAATGCTATTTATATAGAGAGATAAATTAAAATATTGTTGTTTCTGTTCAAACCTTAAATTACTTGTTGAGACTAAATTTCCCAATGTTAGTGCACACCAAGATCAGCCTGCATATCCTAGCCGTCGGATGATGATCTGCACTGTTCGCTATTCGGTAAAATAATATTTATAAAATTCCTTAGAAATGGTGTATGATAATTTTCAGATACATGTTCAAAGATGGAAACGTCTTTTAAGAATTGCCGTGAGGTGAATTCTAATAAATAAATAAATAAATAAATAAATTAGTTAATTAATAGAATAAATAAATATTAAAGAAATAAATGAGAAAAAAGATAAATATAGAAAAATAAATACAAAATTATATATATAAATAAGTAAACAAATAGGTAAACAAGCAAACTGACGAACGAACGAACGAAAGAACGAGTGAGCGGGTGAGTAAGTGAGTGAGTGAGTGAGTGAGTAAATGATTTCGTAGTTTTTTGAATAGGTGAGTGAGTGAGTGAGAGAATGCATGACTGACTGACTGACTGACTGACTGAATGTATAATTGAATAAAGTTTCATCTCAAGCCTTTCTGCAACATCTGAAGTATGCATTCGAACGGTGGCTTAAGATATCATCTTCCTTCATCATAACAATAATTAAAAAGGTTCATTACAAAAAAGTCATGATGGAGAAGGAAGAAAATGACATCTTACGGACTATCTTATTTAAAGTAACACCAGCCATGTCCCAGTGAAAACATTTTTTTAAAAAACAAGACAATAAAAAAAAGCAGAAGAAGACAAAGAAGCGGGAGTAAAACATCCACGTAATTTTACAAAATACAAAGAGAAGATTTAAACATTTGTTAATTATAGTTCTTTATTCTAAATGTTTAATTTCAAAATAGACAATATTTGAGACTGTAAATTATCACAATCTGGCTTTTCTTTAAAACGCCTTGTTTCGCCTAAACAGCAACTAGACTAAACAATTGAGGCAAAAAAGAGAAAAGTTAAAAAAGTAACGACCCGAAAAGCAAGGAATAAAATAAATAAGAATAAAATGGTGTAACCTCAAAAAATGGACTCCAATAAGATTGTTTTGACACGACGGGACTGAGTGTGCTATTTTTCTCATTTTTTTTCTATTTTGAAATCATTGTTTTATTTCTTGCTTGTGGATCACGAAACTGTAATACTTTTAAAATGATATCTAAAATTATTGTAACTGTTGTCCTTGCTGATACGCCTGATTTTCTTTATTTAACAATATAAACATGAGCCTTCAGATGAACAAAATTTTAAAGAAAATATATTTTTCATAATGCCTTTCGTCAACCACTGTTTAAAAAATGGTTGGAAAATATAAAGAAAAAAGACAGACAAATTTTCGGTACCAGAGGTCGAGGTATTACAAGTCGGTATTACCGAGGTCAAGAAATATTATCAGAAATGACACCCTATGCTAGGATTTAGGCATGTTCATGATAACTTTCTACCAAATGCTTCTGAGTTTGTGAATAAATATTTGAAGTCGAAAATGGTGACTGTCTTGTCAAACCCACCATACCTTTAAGATATAGCCATATGCGACTTTTTTATTTTCCAAAACCTTCAAAAGTTCTTATCTGGTCGTCGATACAAGTTTCGACAAACCATATGCTCATCCATCAGTCAGAGCCTCAAAGGTCTATATAAATACAATGGATTTATGTATTTCAAAAATCCGGAAACAAAGTGATCCCTCAGCAGCAATTATTACAACAGAATTACATGAAAATTGCAGGCTCGGTTTGATTGAGTCTGTACATGAGGGATATTGAATAAGTGCAAGATCCCTCATGCAACCTAGTACCGGCTCAATTATTTACATTTAATAGTGCCGGCATCAATGATCTTGAAGGACAGGAAAAATAAGAACACTGCATTAATGTACGGGGCAACATTGTACAGCTGCCACACAGCACTTGACACTTGCTGTTGTGAAGTATAAAAATCTGACAACAAAGAGATCCATTGGAAACATTAATCACAGCAAGTACATGAAAATTGCAGACTCGGTTTGACTGAGTCTAAACAATGGACAATATTATGAAGGGATGTAATGGTCATTTTAGTATTTGAGTCGGATGCTTAAGAATATCGTACAATACATATTACGCATAAAAAAAACTCGTTAACACATGATTTAACTTTGAACTTTTGCAAAACTAATCTATTGATTGATTTGTTTTTATTTGTTTATATATTTATATACATATTAATATATTATTCTTCTGAATGTATTTCAATTAAAATTTAATGCAAACAATTCAATGTAACATAAAAAAACATCAGTAACAAACTTAAACAAAGCCATTTTAAATTTCATCTGAAATAAGATGGTGGCGTATGTACTAAAAATAAGATATATATTCGGTGCAGTTTGTTTTGTTTTATATTTGTTGTTGTATGTTCTTTGTCTTGTCGTATCACATGTTATACACGTGCGTTTAGAATTTCTGAGCTTGTGTTACTTTAACTATCAGCAGGAATACGTCAATGCATTTTTATAAGAATACTAGTGTCACTATTATTTCCAGCTGCATTTAGTATCGGCCATCATAAAACTGTTGCTCAAAGTAAGGTATATTATCAGAAATGCAGCATGTATATAGGGGGGGGGGGAAACTAATTTTGTTGTTGGTGGAAGTTGAGAAGTTTTACTTTTGAATTATAAATCTGGTTTAAAGTGTTTGTTGTTTTACGTAGGGCCGCAAAGCAGAGGTTGCTCTGTATGAAACATTCTGATGCAGCTTCATCTATACCAACTATGCTTGTTTCTACATTTGACTTGGATGTCAAACGCCATAACGAATGTCACCATACCGTAAATTTCACTACACATACGTCAATTATATGAATTGTACACCATAATCGTATATAATGTCAGGTCCTGCTTCGTAACTTGAACAGTCCATTCAAAACTTCAAAGGATTTCAATATCACAACGACTTATTTAGCCAACAACATACAGACCTAAGAATTTGACCTAAGCGGAGTTAAAATACACAGATAAAGAAGAAAATTTAACGGGACTTTAAAAATTCTTCGACTAACGCGGAATTTTGAGTAAAGCGATTTTGACTTATTGAGAGTCAACTGTAGTTAGAAAGCACGGACAGCAGGCTGGCCTGGAACGGTGTACGACATTTCGTCGAAAGAGTATATGTGAACATGCTAACCAGGTCCGATTGGTTTATGGCAAACTTAAATTCGTGTCAAAATATATGTAGCATGGAATGTTCGAGAGAAGAAGAGAATCCAGAAATGGCATTAAACCATTCCTTTCTTTCCATACCATTCTTTGATTGAGGTAGTTCATGTGTGATTATAGCCAATTTATCATCCATCTCTAAAGCCATATTGCAATCCACCGTGAAGAATAATGTCAGAATCTATAATCATTAACATCATCAAAAATGTAAAAAATATATCAATGCAAACAATATGCAAAGAATATTCAACAGGGATAGTTAATTTTACGATTTTTTGTAAAATTAAAATATCTCTTATTAAGGCAATTTAGCATTACCTTTTTGTTCATCGTAAAATTCCCTTCTAGCCTTAAAAAGAAAAGAAACAGAATTGTTTTTCCACAAATGTCTTTTTAGATTGTCAAAGTGTATGCTGTTCATTTTCTTTTTCGGGATCATTGATGCTAATATGTTGCTTTGACAAGAGATAGTATACAAGTGTTATAGTCCTTCATTAAAGAGTCTAAATCTAACGGCGTCTGCGAAATTCACCAATTTATTAAATTATCGTTTTGTTTATTGATTTTTTTTGTGTTTTTTTTCTTTAATTATGTTTTAATAACTTACTTCTCGTAAATATTGTATTGTTATTTTATTCATAACATCTGCGATAAAATATCTGATGCATCATTTGTATATAAATAATGACAAGTAGAAGTTTATATTGACGGAGTATTCTTCAAAATATTCACTCCACAAGCAATATATTAATTGCGTTTTAAAACCTTAATAAGTAATTTCGCAAAACAACGCATATGACTTTGTAAGTAAATAGAATTAAACCTTTATGAACAAAAAAGTGATATGGTTATTTAAAATAGGTTTGTCCATTTGATCACGCAGAAAGACAATGCTTCGTACGAACTAAGACAAAAGTGTTTTGTAAGAGATTTTATTATCAATACTATCTTTTTAAGACCGTATTCATGTATAGATATTCTATCTATATTCCGAAAGAATTTTGGAAAATACAAAAATAAGATGTAGTGATAGTATCGGACCTCCCCTCATCTTAATGTGAATCACGCAACAAAAAAGTCCATAAAGTGGACTTGACATCGTGATTAGTAGAGTATACTTTCATAACGTCCTGTTTTAAAGTATAAAGCCTCAGTATCATGCTTTTTACCCATATAGTGCAGTGATAGCTATCATAGAAGCAACAATGTTTGGATATTTCTCATTGTCAGCAGTTGTTTTTTCGATCGTTTTGTGCTACTCACAAGCGATTGAAGACGATCCAACGTTTTCTAAATTTAAGTATGACAAACAAATGTTAGAGACAATGGTTAGAATGGAAGCAAAAATGAACCAGTGGGATAAAGAAAGAAAAACCTTCGAGGAGAATGTGTTAGCTGTGTTGGAACATCGTAGAGAGGAAATGCAAGAGAAATATTTGAAACAAGATGAAAAGCTGGAAAATATAGAAGGTAAGATTTTAAAATTATGGTCTTGCATTTTTTTTAAAATGCCGTGTGATTTTTTTTCTGCGGTGTTGATATTCGTGTGTTTTGTTTAAACATAAAAGGACGGGGTCTTGAATTGCTGTGTACTTCATTTGTGCTGCGACGTTAACTTACAATGTTTTATATATATATTCTTTTTATATGCTTATATTACTTTATTTTGATTTTATATACTTTTTTTTTGTTGGTGTGTTGGGGATGTTCTTTCGGCTAAAAGAAACAATTTACTTAATGCTTTTTTACATTTAGTCGATCATTTATTGACAACATTGTAAAAATCTTGTAGCCTGTATAAGTCAGAAGAACAAACTTTACAATAGAGATAGTCACACACCTTTTGAGCCATTGCAAATGATAGTTGTCACTTCTTACCGGTCAGATTATAACGCAACTTAACACATTAAAAGAATATCTGCATTTTACACAAATTTAATCCAACACAAGTGTTCGTTAAAGGGAATGTCACTTTATATATTAAAGCAGTATTTCTCCAGTTTTATGCTTATTATCATGAGACATTTTTGTTCACATGTGTACATACTTATACCTGTGAGTGAAGTTCTTTGTCATTTTGTATACATTTTTAAATGTAATGTAAGGATGAAAGAAAAGTAAATTTGTATATTTGCAGGTTCTTTCATTAGCACACCAAAGATTGCGTTCAACGCATACACAAAGTCACGTGGAAGCTATGGTAATTCCCAACCCCTCGTATTTCCATATGTTTTATTAAATATGGGTGAAGGATATGACAAAACAACTGGAGTCTTCACAGCACCTGTTACCGGTCTTTACTTCTTCAGTGCCCACATTTGTAATGTAAATGGACAATTCATGGTGATTTCTATTATACACGAAGGAATTGCAATCGCTACAACAACAGAGCATGAAAGCAATCTTGACAGTTGCAGCTCCGTGAGTGCTCCGGTTATGGTGAAGAAAGGTGGGAAAGTGTCTGTCAAGTCTTCCTATGATAAAAGCAAGCTCATGGCAGACGATAATTACAGATGGCCATCATTTGCTGGAGTACTTTTGCATGTATAAGACAATAAGTTCTTGTACTTAAATGTTAGTTTTCCATATCTAATATGCCTGTACTTGCAGTATACTGTTTTTATATCCATTAAAGTTTTATTCATCAAAAAACTTTAACAGTAAACGTATTACAAAAGATATTTTATCAGTTTCTTTGTATTGAAACATATATTACTGTCCCATTTAAGATAAAGGTTGATTACCATAAGTATTTTGTATGTGTAATAGATTTCATTGTTTCATTTAAGATACTTTTGACTGAAAGAAATGATATATGTGTTTGAGGTCTTGAGCCTTGTAAAGAACGTCGTTTTGCTAACATTTATATAAAACACTGAATAACATTTTTTAATAAATTTACAATCATAATATTTGTATCGTTATGAATTATGAATATATACAGGAATGGATTATCAGACAAAAGTCTATCCCAATCAAGAAACATGAAACAGCAGCAGAATTGTTGAAATATAGACCGTGTCTATGATACAAAGATATCAAATAATTAAAATACGTTTCATTTTGAAGCAACAAGTACGTATAGGCATTTTAATGTAATGTTGCGGAAATGGAAATGTATGTTGCCGTATTCAAAGTAGACTAACACAATCACTGTACCCTGTCTTGCAAGCCTGTTTAATTTAGTGAGTGCCATATTTGCGACAACACACACGTTTTTCTTCTGAGCATTGTACTTTTTTTACAGCTTATAATATAGTATATAGTATATTTCTATTTGTACATTTCGTGCTATATACGGGAAATTGGCCTGTTTATACACTGTATTATCTAATTTGCCGTTTTATTTCAATCAACAAGTTTCACTTCTTTGTTTAAAATTTGACAGATTGTAGATGGTATTATGTATTATGCGAGGTGTGAGAAAACCATAACAATAAAACCTAGAACATAAATGGTTAATTGTCGTTATGTTTGTCTGCATAAATTTGATGGAAGTTTTTTTCAATATATTTTATTAAGTAATATATTAACAAAACATTGTGTGGAAAAATAATCACTAAAAAACAAATAATGTCTAATTACTTATCGCAAACAATCATGGTTTTAATTCATACGAATTAAACACAAAGACAAAAGTTAATTTATAGAATGTCTACACATTTTATGGTTCAAATATTAACAAAAAATAATTTTAACTCTACAATAGCATTTTGATATTAAAATAAGCATTTAAGAAAATATTTTTATATAACATACATAGCAAGACGAGCATTAAATTATTCCAACAATAAATATATCAAACGTTATAAAGCTTTTATACCTGCATCAGATTATGTCGTAAGCATTTTGTTTATCTAAGTCAACAACAATGTTGGACAAATAGTGTTTTTTATGTTTTTTTTCAAAGGGTGCTCTTATATTTTAAAGCAGTTTAAATGGTTTTATTGAACCGTGATATATTGAGACAACATACATACATACGTACGTACGTACGAACGTACATACATACATACAGTATAATCTCTACAGTGTGACCTTCTAGAGAGCAATAATCTCTGTACAACAACAATAATACTTCTTCCCAAAATATAATTTTCTCCAATATTTTGCCACTCTAGAGCAACTCCTCTATCAAAATATTATAAATATTTATCTCCCAAAGATTGTTGTACTGAAGAGCTTATGTTGCACCAGATGATAGTACTGATGATCATTAAGTCATTCTAATGTCCAATAAAACAATGTCCGAGTTTGTTAGTGGGAGAAAAAGTATCAACCAACCTCAGTGTGACATTTTTCTTCTTATCAAATTTTTTTTGTATATTGCCTTTTGCTCAAAATATAAACAACTTAAATAAATCACAATTACAGTAAAAACTCTGAAAACCAAAAGTCCTGTTTTCAGAGGATTCCGGTTTTTTAGAGGTTTTACACATTTACTGATAAATATGATGTGTTTGAACAATGACTTTGTTCAATCATTTGTATTTACTTTTCAACCCTTTTGTCTAAGTTATAATTTCTTTTTGCAATAAATGTCTTAAGCAGTTTTGTTATGCAAATCCCTGAATATAATTTTGAAAATCAGAAATTAAAACAACACATTGTCTGAAATATATCTTTTTAATTGGGTTTTGAAATATGCAATTAATGGCATTTATTATTACTATTTTTGCATGTAACTAATATCATAACAAAGATAACTTCCTTCAAGGTCAAAATTTTAAGCAAAACAGAAATCTTTTAACAAAAGTTTCCCAATTCTTTTAGAAAATAACACAACAAAATTAAACATTTTGAAAAAAACATACCTATAAGGGAAAGACACAATTATGATGGAAAAGCTTTAATTTAATTTCCAATAAGAAATTAACACACAAGCTTTTTCACACAATTTATTTGGGAAAAACACCAATAGTTAATCAGAAAAAAACAGGCGTGGAGCTATTTGCGTTTACTTTTTTTTGTCCATGGACCCGAATTTTATCATTAAAAATTTTAATTCCTTCGATTTACAATTCGGAAGAAATAACTCCTTTCGATTTCTATTATGTAAAGTCATATATTTGTTTCCCCTTCGGTGAGTCACAGCATGTCATATTAATGAATGAGAACGGGAACAAATTTTGCGGAAAGCAGTATAAAAATCAAAACAAAAAATAAACTTAAATTCGATAATTAATTTCTTACATTTGCATCTTCGACAGGAAATAACCAATTATTTTGTAGTCAACTATGTATTTTTTGTTGTGCCATCAATAGATGGAAGTCCGAAAATCTATTTATAGCAGTTGTTTAATTTAGCGAGTCTGAAATTAAACAAAACGGTCATTCGTGTCGCGCTTAAGTAATTAATAACGAACTTGTAAATTTGCAAGACAGGAAATGCAAACAATAAATTGCACTCTCGAAAAAATTTAAGCAGGCATTATGAAATTGTCTTTTCCGTGGGTTCTTTCTGGTAAATTAATAGCTCGTTTATTTTTTACGGCACTGATAGTACATTTTTATACCTTGAATTTTTAAACGGACCCTGATTTCACGAATGTTTGTTGTTCAACATTTTATATTTAAACCACATCCACCGATGTTATCATATTTTAGCTCCTGAAACGATGACGATTTCAAACGACGACCCTAGTCCTTGTGCAGTACAAATGTGCAACCAATGAAGTGAATAAATTTATATATCCAACATAAATATTACTTTACTCCAACATACATAAAAATAACTAACTGATTCAATGGATTCACTCGATATAAAAATCTGGATACAAAGTCGATCCCTCTTAAGCATGTATCACAACAAAATAACATGAAATTTGCAGACTCAGTTTGATTGAGTTTGTACATGAGGGATAATGAATAAGTTCAACATCTCTCACAACCCCTAGCCCCAGCATAATACTTGTTTTGGGATTGTGGCTGTGCACTTTTTAGTAAGTACATTAGTGCTCGAACACCTGGTTTTCATCGTAATAAACAGTAGGCCTTATATTATATCAAGCAAATCTAAAGCCTCCATTCTAGAGCCAAATCGATTGGAAATAACTTTCTAAATCACGTGTCATTATAGCTTGCTTTTTACATTTACACTAAGTAGCAATTAAGTTTATACATGTATGATGTTTGGAGACAAATCACCGATTTCTTTCTTGAATTTTCGGCTTCATGTAGAAAACAGAATGTTGATAATATTTATAAATAAACATTTTAAAAAATGACGTTGAAATGATCATTTCCTTAATTAACCGTATCAAAATCATAATGCAAGAAAATGGGGCGGGCGTGGTTATTGTTATTTTGTAAATACTAATAAAAGCTTGATTTGATTGCAAGCTAAATTAATGACAGGTCTGATGAGCCCCATTAAAGCATGTCATAAATAACGTAACATATTATGTAAAAGGATTTCAAATCCATTCATTCATAGCGATCAATTGAGTTTCATTACTCTTAAATCGCAGCGAAATGATTTTATTTCACGAAGATAAAGACAGACACAAAATGCAGCATATGGATCATTTCAATAAATATTCTTCATATGTTTCATATAATGAAATTACACAATTATATATCCAACAGAGTACAATTTGAAAGAGGAATGTCCAATCATTCCCTATTATTTTTGGTCATTCAGGGATGAAATTAATACATGAAAAACACAGCAAATTTATACATTCAGTAAAATGAAGATTTCTTTATTAAAATCCTGAAAGCAGTTTTATCAAAAGAACCATTATTGACATACCCAATACACTTCTTATATTTCTAACACTTATTTACCAGAATAAATCTCCTACTTCAAAATGTTAAGGTTTCAAACATTTTGTAGATATTAGAAAACAATGCAAATTTCTGAAAACAAAATATTTAATGAGCATTTTTTAGCACTAAGAATACGAGCATTTTGCAAAAGTTTCACCAATTACACTATAAAAATAATTAAAAGTGATAAAATCCTATGGTACTCTCTGCTACAGTTTGAAAAATTAGAAAATATCAACACATAAAATGACTAAAGAATTTTACGTAAGTACACTGGACATTTTGCTACATGAAAACTAAAATAATTTACTGGCATTGATCAACCTCAAGCATAGATGGTATGGCACCGAACTGTTTATGAAATAAAACAATTTGCATCCCCTTGAATTGTTCACCATAATCGAGCTTAATTTAAATAATTGCAGTATGTTCAAAACCTTAAGCGATTTCAATATCACAACGTAACATTGAGCCAACAACATTATAGATTCGGGTAAGAACACACTAAATAGCAGGCTAGCCTGGCTTATATATGTATAAAAAGACTTACCAGGTACAAACGGTTATTAAAAGGAAACTAAAATTCGCGTCAAAATAAGTGGCAAGGTTGGCTCTAAGTGAGACGAGAACTAAAAAGAGCATTAACATTCCTGCTTTCATTGAGTCAGTTCATTAGTGATTATGTCCACTGTATTATCTCTAAATTCAAAATACAATCCATCCATCCTGAACGCTAATGTCGGTTGCAAAAATGTTTAAGAAAAAGAAAACATGACAATTATAACAAGAATTATGTTAAAGACAATGCCAGGGAGCGTGGATGATAACTTGATAACTCGGTCAATCAAACCGATCCTGCAATATTAACAATTTTGTCTTTTGGTGCATTTTGATGGATTCTTTATTTCTCTTTTTTTTATAAATTTATATTGACGGATTACTCTTCAAAAAATTTGCAATCGATACATCCTTTGTTTTTTAATCGTAATTGGTTAATTTCGCACATCAACGCATATGACTTGAAAACGTTAACGGAGTTAACCTTACAAAAAGTTATATGGTTATATAAAGTGGGTTTGTCCATTAGATCACGCTTAAAAACATACCTCTCACAGACTAAGATACAAGTGTTTTGTAAGATATGTTTCTGTCAATGCTATCTTTGTAACGATCGCATTTAGTTAAAAATACTATACATGTATGTATATAACCAAAAAGGTATTTGGGAATACAAAAGGAAAGTTTTTTAACGTATGTGATTGTATCGGACCTGTTCTCATTTGTTTGCAAAACACGCAACAAAAAAGCCCCATAAGTTGACTTTACATTGTGATTGGTAGATCATACTTACTAAACGTCCTGTTTTAAAGTATAAAGCGTCTATATAATGTTCTTTATTCATATAGTCCAGAAATCGCTATTACAGTAGCAACGATGTTTGGATATTCTTCATTGTCAGTAGTTGTTTTTGTTACCGTTTTGTGCCACACAAAAGCGATTGAGAACGAGCCAATATATTCGAAATTTGAGTATGACAAACGAATGTTAGAGACAATTGTAAGAATGGAGGCAAAAATGGACCAGTGGGATAAGGAAAGAATAACCTTCGAGGAAAATGTGCTTGCTGTACTGGAACATCGTAGAGAGGAAATGCAAAAGAAATTTTTGAACCAAAACAAAATACAAAATGAGTTAAATGATCTACGTGAAAAAGTTTATAATAGGACTTTAGGACTTAACCATGTACCTGGTAAGATATCAAAAAAAAGTTGAAAATAATCTCTTTTATATTGTTTCTAAATGAATATTATTTTTAAGAATTACAATACTGGCTAAGTTTGAATCTTTCATTTATTGTCAAATAAGTTATCACTTTTCTTAAAATAACTATCTTACACTATGATGTTGTGTTTATACATGTTTCACAAGAAACAATTATTCACAGATCTTAACAAATAAATTAATTTTACTCCAGGAAGAAACCCTGCCGTAGCTTTCAGCGCCTATACAAATGTCAGTAGCAGCTATAGTGACGGGCAGATCGTCATTTTTCCTAATGTTCTTTTGAATGAAGGGCATGGATATAACAAAACAACTGGCTACTTTACAGCCCCTGTAACAGGAGTATACCAATTCACCGCACACACTTGCAATTATTTTAATAAAGCAATAATTGTCGAGATTGTTCACAATGGAAAAGTTATTGCAGTGACAACAAACTGGGATAATTATCGTCATACTTGTAGCTCTGTTAGTGCACTGGCAATGGTAGCAGCTGGGGACTCGGTTTCCATTATATGTGCGCATGGCGACAGTCACATGGTTGCAAACCATCATCGGTGGCCATCTTTCAACGGAGTTCTTTTAAATGTTTTTTGAATACACACACATAATTGTTATTTTTAATTTTGATTTCACGCCAACATTCTGCAATAGAAATAAATCTTATTCACGCCAATATCAAAATTAATATTGCGATACATTTTTGTAAAGCTTTTTTGTTTCAATTGTGTTCTTTGATATATCAATGTGCAATTGTGTGTGTCGACTGTGTGAAATTAAGAAAAAATAATAAAATTGTCATATTTGTATGACGATTTGTTTGCAATACGAATTTAGGAATTTCATTGTAAGTTAAAGCAAAAACTTTTCAACAAAAGTCATATAATTATTTGAAATCTCAATACAATGAATCGTTTTGAACATTTGTTATTCGCATGCCAAAACTATCAGAAAACTTACAGATATGTAATAAACTTGAAAATATAAAAGTTTTTATTGTACTTTAGACGATGAAATAATTTCGATTGCATTATTTGCTGAAATGATTTATTTCATCACGAGACGCTATCTAGCTGTCCGTATGCAACAAGAAATTGTCTTACGGTAAAGCTTTCTTTTGTCTGATACATACATGTAAAATACTATTGTCTTGAATATAGGGCTTGATTTTTTAAAAAAACGATGTTATTATTTTACAAACAACTAAAATGAAGAGTCGTTCATTGAATGAAGTCAGTCATCTCAATCTCTTCGGTACAAATAAAAATTAGTTTTCTGGTTATGAAATTATTCGACAAATGGTCTACAGTCTATGGAAACGACGAGATAGACATATGTTAATAAAGGAAAAATGCAGTCACATGAATAAGTCTGCAACTTTCACTTTTAACTTCTCGGCTATTTACATATAAAACACAATACTGATCTTAATCCAATTTCAATCAAGCGTAAACCATTGTGTGCAGGTATGTTATGGCAAATTATTGTACTAAATTCGCCAATATTTTATTCATGATTAAAAAAATAATATCAATAGATCCAAATTTACAATTTATTTGGCAACTTAGAATGTTTTGGGTAATAACATACTAATTTGTCGTGAAAAGTAATAATTGCCTATGCAATCTGTTAATACAAAAGAAGGTAAACATTTCTCAAAATATATAGATTGTACTTGATTTAAGTAGATTTATAGTTACATACGTACTTCTTTCTTGTAGTAATGATTGTTGGGATATTTTCAATTAATAGTTGGTAGTTGAAACATGTTAAAAAAATAAAACTAAACATTTCAATCATCATTATAATCATTTGTTATTGAACACATTTAAAGGTTAAGACTTTATTGATTTGTTTCAGTCTTTGAGATTAACAAAACTTCCAGCAAACTATATGATGCTTTACATTTATTTTTTATTCAAATAACAAATATGTAAACAAAGGTATAACAAAGTTTTCTCCTTACTTGTTGTCGAATAATTTAAATATGCTACCGAAAAGTCTTGTTTATTAAATTCTGTTGTTAAACCTTCAACATCTTTAATTGTAAGTTAAAAAAAGGATATATTTTTAGGGTGGACAGTTAGAAATTAGAATGTGCTAAGAAAGCGATTATTTTACAGTCAAGCGAGTTTAATCTTTAAGAGCTATCGTCACGATATGCACGAAGCAGAAAAAATGGTAATGGACTTCAAATATTTGCTCTCTTTGTATTAATACGACCGGTAATGAAGTTTTAAATCGAATTAAATACGAATTGAATTTTATTGTTTTATAAGGTATCAAGAGAAAGAATTGTTTCTTTTGTAGGAACGCAATGAAATATAAAGGCATTTTATTATTAATTTTTTCCCTAGATATAATAGCATTTAAATCGATTTTTTACAACAAATTCAGGATTGGTTTCGGAAAAACATTCGTCCGACTTTTACACTTTTGAATAGGATAGATAATACTATAATAATTTAAATAATATTATAATATAATATAAGGGTCGATTAAGGTACATTGTATCATAGTTTGGGGACCTTTCTGTTGAAAATGTGTCAGAGTTATTCGTATACATATACATGCACAGTGCGTTTACTGGAGCGCAGGTATTAGTTACCCGCACTCCAGAGCATGACCTTTGATTGGCTCATTTTTGCTGGGGTTAACTTATTGTGGACAGCGACAGAAATATCATATTCAGATGCTCGTTCATTGGTTACTTTTTCCCGGGGTTTCATATTGTGTCAACAGGGAACGTGTTTATATTTTTGACTATGATACAAAAGAGAAAGAACATCGAAACACTCGGCAATCTGATTAATACTCGGGGGCTACGACTCAGAATCAGATAGCCTCGAGTTTCGATGCTCTTTCTATTACTTACAATCCAAAATATATCTTCAAGGTCTATTTCATGTAAAACATGTAGTCAAAATAGTCGATATATATTATAAAACATTATGCCAATTATTATTTGAATTTACCGGTTTTTGCAAATCTCGGGTTTATTACAAAGCTGGTTGTGAATTACAACAATGTCATCAGATAGTTTGCAATTAAGATATTTCAAAACTGCTTTTATTACAAAACCGGTTGTAAAAAGCACGCGGCAGTTTGAAGGAAAATAACATTGAGAAAACGAAACCCGTGAGGAAAGCCCAAAACTAAAAGAATTGAGTATGTTGCAAACTCATTTAAGGTAGAACGCGACACTTGCGAACTTTCGAGTAGCGTCTTGAGAATTGGCATGCAGAAAGTTGACCATATTTCTGATTTGATTCCGTTAATTTTATTCCAATAGTTTCAGCCAATTTTTGTACACATGACGTCAAAGTTGACCCTCAAAGTCCGTTTTCAAACAAGACGTCGTTGCGTATCCTTGGCAACTATAACGGGTATCACAACGCCATTGGCAGACAAAATACCTTAAATCCTACAGCATCCAACGGAAAATGTTTTTTCCTTAAAGTTGATATAAAATTTATTGTTTTACGCCAAAAAATGTATGAAAAATGGAAAGAAAACTATAAATTTTGTGTAAATTTTGACGTTCAATTTAGCGGCAAATTTCGGCTTTAAAGCGGCTTATTTAAAAATTCCTGAAATATCATTCATTTTATTCTTTAAACGTCCTTTAAAGTGTATAATTTGTCGAAATGGCTAAAAAATAGGGGGTGACCGACTCACTGTGTTCGGTACACGTGATTTTATTTTCCCCACCCCTTTTGATAAAAGTCACGCTATCATGGGGCGTTTTTTTTTTTTTATTTGTCATTAAAAAGGTCGCCCTGTGTCAAAATCCCGCTATAAATGGAATTTTATGCTATAATGACCACTGCGGAAAATATATGGATACAATAAAGGGTACGGAATTCCGTATATTATAGATAGACAGGTAACATAAGTGAAATTTGAACACGTAGATGTACGTGGCCGTATATCATGCACTACGTATATGACTAATATACCGTGATCCGTACACTCGTAATATTACGGAAATTTTGCACGAAGTCCGTATTTACTGAAATACGGATTTCTTTTTTAATTACAAGGTCAGATATTACCAAAATATGAAATATTTTATTCTTGTAAATACCGATTTTGTATATAAAACAGAGAATAAAGATGTAATTCAGAATTACCGGTACCCACTTTCTACAAGAGAGAAAAATAATAGTCTGATCTGACATTTGTCAGAAAAACATTCAATAGTAAAACTTTGAGTAAAATGTAATATTTTCCGGTTTTATTAACACGTCAATTGCCTTCTGATTAAATTGTCAGTGAACAGAATATATAAACATCGACAGATCCTCAACAGTGTCCGTAGCATGTACAGACAAAAAATGACAATATATATTGAAATATCTTTATTTGTATAAAGATTTACAACGCAACACTCCTTTGTACAATATCTAGCTCAGGACCGCCTGGTTCGCTATATATGTTCTGCTAAACAACCGTGGATGTGCATTGACAGCGTTTCATTATATTTCATGTTAAAAGTACTTTCTGTTAAAAATAAATTCTACTATAAATTTGGCTATACGTACAGTGAATCATAAATATTTGCAAAGGCCGATTTGATAGTAATGTTTTTAATGCAGAATTTACGATAAATCCTCAATTTTTTATTTATTTTTACATTATGATATTCTTAAATGATAAGCAAAACGAGAGAAATGTATTACAGATGTTTATTTACTTGTAAAATCGAACGTGCTACCTCTGTAATCCAACAACCATTGAGCTAACGTTTCAAACATGACTGTTGCTTTACGCTTATATAATTGACCAATTTTCATTTATGACCGTATATTTTAATTTGTCAATATTTCGCACAGTTATATAGCATATACTCTGTCAAATCGCTGCAATAGTTTTTGCTTACAAGTGAAATTCTGGGTTTTAATAGGTGAAATAGAATACATATTTCTCACAGTATATCACTTACAGTGTGGGTAATAAAATAGTATATCTTTGCAGAACTTCTTGTAGCCTACGTACTAATTTATGATTGAATTTCCGTAAATTTCTAAATTTACATAAAAAATATATATAGTTGCTTTTTGTTCCTTATGGCATATTTTTCGATTTCTCTGGGAAATAAAATTAGGTGTACCGAAAAAAATTCAGTCGGTGACCCTCTTTTTTTTTTTTAGTCATTTTGACTAAGTATACATTTAAAAGGACGTTTAAAGAAAAAAATTTAAAAATGTATTTCAGGTATTTTTAAATAAGCCGCTTTAAAACCGAAAGTTGCCGCTAAACTGAATGTCAAATTTTACACAAAATTTACAGTTTATTTTCCATTTTTCAAATATTTTTCGGCGTAAAACGATAAATTTTATATCAACTTTAAGGAAAAAACATTTTCCGTTGGATGCTGTAGGATTTAATGTATTTTGTCCGCCAATAGCGTTATGATACTTGTAATAGTTGCCAAGGATACGCAACGACGTCTTGTTCAAAAATGGGCTTTGATGGTCAATTTTGACGTCATGTGTACAAAAATTGGCTGAAATTATTGGAATAAAATCAACGGAATCAAATCAGAAATATGGTCAACTTTCTGCATGCCAATTTTCAAGACGCTACTCGAAAGTTCGCAAAGTGTCGCGTTCTACCTTAAATTGATCCTATTCTTGGACGGTGACAGTAACTAGCTTCCAAACAATATGCATTCTTGTTTAGATTTTACTGATAATTTTATTTTTCAGATCAAAGTTCATGCGGTTCAGATCTAGAATGTAATGGGCACAAAGATGTTTAACCTTGTCTATTGGGTAACTATTGTTAACGACTAGAATGTTGCGTCCTGTACGTTGTGTCATTATGGTATTAATGGTAAAAAACTAATATAAATATAAATAAGAAGGAGAGACAGACGCAGTTTTAATCCAACCCTCTACACAATAATGGATAAAAAAGAGACGAAATATATAATTATATTACTTAAAATCACACTTTATGCTTAAAATAAATATATACATTATATTTGGTTGGTATTATCTAATTTAAGTTAGAAACTACATGAAGTCGTTTAATTCTGTAAAGTAAAACAAGAAAAGAATGTTTACTATTATTCGAGACAGTCGATTTAATATGTAATCAAAAATTGTCAAGTGTCAGATATTTGTCCGCTTTCGTGACTATGTTTACGATTAAACAGTTAAAAGAACACCGGCGAAGGATGGTCATCTGTACTGTGTATCGGCATACATGACACTTTCTTTGTATGTACTCTTAATATACACTCGTTCACCCGCCTCCATTTTTACTAGAGCCATGGCCAAATTACAGGTACTTCAGATGTTTTCGTATCCTGTTGTAACTGTTACTGTAGTATCTTCATAAAAGCTGCCACTATACACTTTGCTTCGGTATGACATATATGTATGCTGAAGTGATACAGCCCAGTCACAGGGGCTGTGAAGCTGCCAGTGCTTTTGTCATATCCATCACCTTCATTAAGTAATACGACAGGAAATATGATAGATTGACCGACGCCGTAATTTCCCCCAGTACTGTAATATGTGTTTAACGCTACTTTCGGTGTGGCATTGTTAACTGAAGGAAAATAATGGGAATTATAAAAAATATTCAAGCCTGTTTATTTAAGTAATAAAATAAAACATAGCGTAACATGATTATATAGTGTATCATAGTTTGGAGACCTTTCTGTTGAAAATGTGTCAGGGTTAAATCGTTTACATATACATGCACTGTGCGTTAACTGGAGTGCGGGTATTAGTTACCCGCACTCGAGAGCATGCCCATTGATTGGCTCATTTTTGCTGGGGTTTACATATTGTGACGGCAGTGAAAGTGAAATCGACAGAAATGTCATATTTAGATGCTCGTTCATTGGTTCATTTTTACCGGGGTTTCATATTGTAACAACAGGGAACGTGTTTTTATGTTTGACTATGATACAAAAGAGAAAGAACACCAAAACACTCGGTAATCTGATTAATACTCGGGGGCTACGCCCCCTCGTACAAATCAGATAACCTCGTGTTTCGGTGCTCTTTCTATTACTTATCTTATAACCAAATATTGTTTAGCAAAAGCCTGATGGATAATGAATCTTTCTATAATATAAACTATAAACTATAAAATATAACTATATCATGAACAATAGTTATTGCAGAATCAATTGAAATCAAAACAAAGTTAAGAATGTCCTCACCAGTTAATTTTTCAGATGTTTTTTTCTTTTAGTTCTTCACGAATGTTCTTACAGAAATCAAACATTTCATCTCACTTTTCATTTTGTTTCACAATTTCTCGTTTCATGTCCTGCTTCCTATGTTCCATGACAAACAATGTGTTCTCTTCACATTTTATCTTTTCTTTATCCCACATATTCATTAAAGCTTCCATTTTGACCATTGTCTCTAACATTTGCTTATCATATTTGAATTTAAAAGATGCCGGTTCTGTATCGTCTTTTCTTGTTGTTGCGTAGATTAACATAATAACAAAAACAACTAATGCGAAATAATATCCAGACATTGCTCCTTGTAAGAAAATACTTGTATAATAATATTGTGATATCTTTATTCTTTCATACGGGAGGGGATAATGTAACCTCTGTCAACATCGACATAAAGTTCAAACCACGGAAAGAGTATATAAACAGTCTTTGTCATTTTATATATTTTATCATTGTTAAGGTAGTCTAATAACGGTGTAACCCTCCAGGAACGATGGTTAGGAAACTACCCGCCTATATGACTGAAATACTGTTGGAAAAAGGCGTAAAATGAAACAAACAAACAAACAAACAAACAAACAAACAAATCATTGTTAATTCCAATGTCCAACAATTGTTGCTGCTTATGCTGAATAAAAGACTTCAAGTGACTTGAGGCATTGCATTGTAACTACCTCCCCTTGTATGTTGTGAGGAAACAGTTACTATGGCGTTAAAACACGAACCAACTTGTTTCATTTATTTGTGCTGAGACATTCAGCTACCTTAATTTGCAAAATTATTAATATAAGGCACATACTACAATTGGCTTCTTCCACTGATAGCCAGATATTTCATAACATAATATAGGGGTACACTTATAAATACAAGCAGATTTTTTTTAAAAAAAAAAGGAAAAAAAGGTCCGCCTGGGCTCCTTGCCACCGGTTCTTGTGGCTGGGTCATATGGGGGTTGCTTTCATTGAACGCCGCCTTTCCTTATTGATCTTGTTTATCATATTTCATCAAATACTGGATGCAGAAAGGAAGACGAAACTATGAAAGAAAACTCAATTATGATATAAATATAATTTTGTATCAGTATCAAGAAAGCAGTCAAATGTTCTATATTTTGCACAACATAATGATCAATGTCAATAAAATTAATGTTACTTTAATGTAAAGACAGCAATTTGAAATATGAAGTCAATCCCTTCAAAAACAAAAATGATAAAAGCAGAGTATTTAAAGTAAATTATAAGTTCAAAGTGGAAACAACTCTTGAAAAAAGAAGCTAGAGTTATGAACCTTGTCATGCATGATCTGAAATCTGGACGCGGACGCCGGGGCAAGGAGGACAGCTCTCCATATACTTTGTATGGTTCACCTGAAAATGATTATCAAATTAATTTGCATTTGTTTTTTGTTTTTCAGGTGTAATTAAGGTCCATCATGTTCTTTAAAAGTTGTGTACACTATCATGTATGACCTTTATTTATGTTTCTAATTTAAACACAGTCAAACTTAAAATTTCATGAACTTGAAAGTGGTATTAGAGAATGTCTCACACCTAAAATATGAAATCAAAATAAAAAGTAAATGCGACACAATCATTTCTGGCAATTTATAGTCCATCTCTTACTGAACAACTAGAAATGCCAAAATGTTGCTTTATCTTAAATTAAATAAGTAAAAAATGCTTTGTTCTATCAAAATGTCACTTGGAACCTTTTCGCTTTGAACATAAAAATCAAAATATGAGAAATTTTAAGTGCGAAACAGTTCTCAGTTACATTTGATTAAATATCTTGTTTGCCAAGTCTTTCCTAGAATTTTTATTACCATTGACATGTTTCTTTAACTTTTTTGATGTGAAAAATCAAAGTGTTGTGGAATTTTGCTAATTTACCAACATTTGAGACAGTTATTTAATTCTCCTGTAAAATTTTGGAAAATGCACTTAGAACCTTTTCGCGTTCACCCCTCGAGGTAACGACCGACGTAAAACTTTCAATTGTAGCAAACAGATTACCAACCAATTTCTGTCTCAAAGATCGCGATGTTGGTAATGATGAGTATTCTTTACTGATATGCATTGCTCCTCGTGTACTTAGAGAACTTATTTAAATGCATATTAAAGCGATGGTAAACAAAGCATATTAAGGAATTTATTATAATTGCTTGTTTGCATGACTTTTATTGTCAGTGTACCTACAGTAATATGTAAAAAATGTCACTTTAAATAAAAAAAAACTGAGTGATTTCAGTTGTATATACGTATTTGTTTTTCAGAGGATGTTTTTTTCAGGGGAATTTTTTTTTAAAGAAATTTTCAGATATATATAAAAAAAGAAAATATTTGCAAAGCACGCAACATCACAAAAAGGTTCATGAACATTGTCGTTGTTATCGGGTAAATATAATCATTTTATGTCCTGTTTTAAAGTATAAAGTGTCTGTATTCTTTTTTCTTTATTCATAATTCACTGATACAACCTTAGAGAAGGATGGCTTGTTACTATTCATTAGAAGCTATTATTGTGTTTCTAACCGTATTGTGCTACTCAACAGCAAGTGAACCCGATATCGAAACGCAATGTTCAAAATTCAAGTATGACAAACAAATGTTGGAGACGATGGTCAGAATGGAAGCTAAAATGAATCAGTGGGATAAAGAAAAGGAAAACTTTGAAGAGAACATGCTCTCTGTCATGGAACATCGGAAGGTAGAAATGAAACGAGAATTTGCGAAACAAAATGCACAGATTGGTCAAATGTTTGATGACTACGAGAAGATCCGTGAAAAACTCAATGACAAAACAGCTCAGCTTGAAAAGCTTGCTGGTAAGTAGAACAATGTTTAGTTTATTTCTGCTTATAAATCGAAATCTTATGCTAAATCGATGAGATTTAAGTACACATTATTTTATGACATAATTCTGTTTTAGATAAAGCCTGATAGAGAGTAATTCTATATGTAATAGATATTAACCAATAAATTTTAGTTTACAAAGTCCGAGGATAGTTAGATTGAGACAATGTAGACATGAGTAGCTAAATGAATTGTTTTCAAATTTTATCAATACGCCATTAACACAGTATCATTTTGAAACAAAATATAAATTTATTTCTTCCCATTTCAAAAGAAAGGATAATTTCTTGCTTAATGTTCAACCTCGTAATTTTCTAAACATTTACAATCGTTATACATTTTGAATTCATCAATAATTTTATGCTCCGTTTAGTATACAAATATTTATTACCATTCAAACAAAACACTTAATACAAGAATCATTAACATTGACTTTAAAATCAATTTCTTAATAATTTTGCTTCAGATAATTTCACAAAAACCCCGAGGGTAGCGTTTAATGCATATACAAGGTCCAGCAGAAATTATGACAACGGCCAAACTTTCGTCTTCCCTGATGTTTTACTCAACGAAGGTGGTGGATATGATAAAATTACTGGAATGTTCACAGCACCTGTGGCTGGTCTGTACTATTTCAGCGTCCATATTTGTCATGAAAAAGCAAAATATGTGGTCGCAGCTATTGTTCATGGAGATACTACAATTGCAGTTACATCTGAATATGAAAACACTGGTTATAGCTGTAGCTCGGTCATGGCTCCGGTAAAAATATCTGTTGGTGAACGCGTGTACCTAAAATGTACACATAACACCGCCTTGGTAGGTGATTCAAATAACAGATGGCCGTCCTTCACCGGTTTTCTGTTTACTATTTGAACAAATACCGCAGATATTGGACTTTTGACAATACTATTTCATTCATACTAATATTCAAACTTTAAAAGTATGTAATTCAGTTGCTTAGTGGTGTAATATAACAGCAGCGTGCTCCCATAACCTAATAAAGAGCAAATCTGCGATCTTATTCTATTTCTAGTTACTTACCGATGATCGTTTGCTATGATTACCGTCTATCAACAGGCGCAATCAAACGAGCTTGCAACATTTTCAACTTTGCCGTTTTGGAATTTCTTTATGGATTATTATTTACTCCATTCCATTTGCCGGTGACTTTTTCAATAGCTGAAAATGTAAGGAATAATTTATAAATACAAGCTCAAATTTAACAAAAAAACTGTCATTTAGACATATCATATTTGTAACATCTGCCCATGTGATTATTATACGGCACTTTACAAGTCGAACTAAAATGTTTCATCATGCACTTTCAATGATAATTCTATGAAATTAACTCAATTTCTACGCAAAATGATTTATTGGTAGAATCTGTTTAAAGATGATAATTGTGAAAGTTGTCTTCTTGTGAATTTTTTTACCAGTTAAACATAATTATAATCACTAACAAATTACTTCCTTTCTTAAGAATCTTTACACACCAGATGATAAGCAATGTTAGAGATATGTAAAATGTTGCAACATGTTTTTTTCCAGTTTTTTCCACTCCTCTGGAGATCATTGATGTAGTTTTTAGATTTCAAGAATGTGCTTAGAATAGAGCCTTACCAGTTGCAATGGTGTGAAAGTTGTAACACTTTGTATTGTCGCATAGATATATATTTATGTTTAATTAAAGAATAAGTCAGTTTCTAGCAGTTACTTTTCTTTTTCTTTTTAAATGGCCTGTACCAACCCTTGTCCAAATTGTATTTGATTTTAAAAAATATGATAAACAATACCAACAAGGAAAGGCGGCGTTCAATGAACGCAACCCCAACTCGACCCAGCAACAAGAGCCAGCGGCAAGGAGCCCAGGAGGACCACATTTTTACTGCCAAGAGCGTGTCTTCTTTATTCAACAGTTATTGCAGGGCTTTTCTGGTGCACAGATATAAGCATTTTTTTTATTTCACGTAAGGAATATAAACATGCAACAATCATGGACAAGGAAATAAGTTTCAGATTTTGTAAAATATTTAAGAACCCTATTTCTCGCAAGATGATTATAATTAATGATTCATCTTTTCTTTCGTTCTGTTAATATAAGTCTGCATCACATCGACAGTTAAGACAAGAAAAGAAAACGTTGTTTTAATGATAGAGTAATGGTAACAGTTAAATTTCCGTTCTCCGTGACAATAAAACAACGTAATAATACGTCTGTCTTGTTTCATTATCAATCATGCTGTTACAAAGAGCGAAAGGACTACGAGTATTTCACCAAAAAATCAATGAAATCAATAGCATCGGCTAAGAAACGAACAGACATTAGATTCTAAAAGAATATACTCGTTCATTTTGCATGAATATCACTGTGTGTGGTTCGTCAATTATAGATTGAAAAGGAAACAAGAAACATCGAAACTGTTACGTGTTAGACACAATCTTCATGCAAGTATTTGTGTGACAACTGAAAAATTAATACCAGTTCAATTCTATATATTATTCATATTACATTCCATATAGCCTCTTCTTCATTATCCAAAAGAATCGATTAAAATCAAAATCGCACCATATATGTCTTCTTTTTCATTTCTAAAAGTCCATAATATATGTCACATCTTTTTTAATTGAAGACATACAGTTCTGTCAAAGAATTGTGGTATCTTATCAAAGCTTCAAAACTAATATCAGACTCGACTTATGTACTGTTTGGCTGCTATGTACTCGTCCAACAAAATTCAATCCGATTCAACAATGTATAAAATCAACAATGGTAAAATCGGCTGCAAATTGCAAAAAAATGGTTATTAAAGCACATCATTTAATAAGTAGCGCGACAAAATGATTACTTATTTTAAGTATTGTTTCTTCTGTTGCTTTAATCGATCGGAAAACAAAGTACATGTAAATAATCACAACAATTTACAAATAAACATTAAAAATTAATAATCAGGAAGAAAGACAAATGTTTGTTTATCAGATACAGTTTTAATTACATGATTTTATAAAACATACAATATTATAAACGCGATCGACAAGGAAAGGCGGCGTTCAATGAACGCAACCCTTACACGAACCAGCATGCATCAAGGATCAGCGGAATTTGCCCAGGAAGAACAGACACAAAAACAAAAATGGACAGGGCACAAGGTTAAGCACTGACAATCAGCCCTTTCCGTGTAACATTTAATGATTCTTTTTGTCACACTTACACAGTATATGTCATATGGCGACTTTCCAGTTTTACTGATGGAACCTCAGGAAGATCTGTGTAATTTTATGTCAGGTACAAATGGTCACCTAAGTAGAATCACTGATGAGTCATAAATATCACTGCTGGAAAAAGTATAAGGGAACCATAATTGCCCTGAGTCATTCACCAGAAACAACTTTTTTCAGAATTAGAAATAATTTTTCAAATGAACGAAAACCAAGCCTAGCTAGTTATACAGTTCACAACACTAATTGTTTTACTGCTTTTCTTTCATTTTAAATATGACTCATTATTTTATTTTTCATTTTATTATCCAATACATGTATTTAAATTGAAACATTTTGGAAATATATCTCTGTGAAAGGTTTTTCAAGACTCTGCAGATGTTATAACAAGGAAAAATGTGTGTTAAACCTATACAGTTACCAGAAAGTCTTCCACGAATAAGTATAAAATAATTCAAAAAATGATAAACCAATGCGATTTAACTCTGTATCTTAAGATATGAACAGTAAATATCATCTGACACTATGTCATTGAGGTTGTTTTTACGTTAATTTAAATTTAGATTTTTGTATAAAACTACAATGTTGCATTTTTACACTTTCGCTTGCTAAAGTATCATAATTTGTTTGGTTGCTGCCAGTGCCAAATAATTAAAAGCGTTTGATAAATAAAAACAAAAGCTTTTATTAAATTAATACATGTATACCATAAACTGTACTTCTATACAAAAATAGAAGAAAAATCAATAAAACCTTTTTATTTTATATAGTATATTATTTGCCCATTATAGCCCCCAAAACGCTTTTCTTTTCTCTTTTATTTCTTAATGGCTTTTAGTTTGATGTTCTAATATAATTCCTGAAAGGTTACTCAAAGGCAAATTACCTGAATGTTCTTTTGCTTTTTTTGCATTTCGGCAATCAATATCTAGTAGTACTAGTTTTTTGAATAGTTTACTCCTTTTTTGGAAATATATTTTTGGAAACTATAACTGAAAAGTTTCGTTTGTTTAGATAGCGGTGCATTGTTGTTTTACAGGGTTAAGTGTTGCACCGACACAGTAAATGTCATATCACGACTTTCCAGCTTTCCTGGTGGAGGAAGAACTCAAGCACAAACCCCTATCTTTCCTTTAGCTAGCTCGATTACTTCTTAATACAAATTTTCTTTCGGTTTTCGAACCAACAACAATGCTAGGCAAGTAGTTTTATGTCAACGACCTTGGCCACTTGGCCACATACGTCCTATTTGCGGTACATGATACGTTATGTAGATCTGAATTAGTATGCGGCCAAAGCAAATTATCTTTCCGTTATACTTATCGCCTATGTGTGGAATGACAGATTAACATTTATACATTGTTTAGAGGAACCAGCATATTTATGTTTTGGTATTGTTTTGTTTTAAATTTTGATATAGCTTCATCGTTATAGAATATTAACGAGGTAAAAAATATGTGAAACAGCCTATTTAACGTACTTGTTTTTTTTTTAACTTTGCTACAAGGAAGTCTTCCTTGTACACCTACAAATGATTTGTTTAAATAAGTTTGTCACTTTGAAAACAAAGAAATCGTCGTATGCTTTCATGTACATTATTCTTTTTTTAACACTGTTGGCAAAGAGATAAACTGCATCATATAATTAAAGTGGCATTATGCTTACGTTCTCATGTTTACTATTAATTGGAAGGGATATGATGTTATGAATGTATTGACAAACAGTTGATATTGAAAAATGTTAAATATAAAATACAAAGCTTTTAAAAAATATAAAAAAATGCCCTACACTTCTTGTTTATTGAACGTTACGGGTAACTAGGATGGTTATTTATAGAAATTTGCTAGATTTGTTAGATTTATCGTTCATGCATAGAAAATGATCTGTTTGAAAAATATTGAGGCAAAATGTAAACAATTCCTTGTCTGAAATCTAGCGCCGTTGAACAATTTTGTAAATGACTTCATCTTTTTATTACTCAGCAGTAAAATCATAATAGAGAATATTAAACAAATCAAGATAAATGTATTTCTGAAATTAAGATGTACACTAATGCATACGAATATTATAATATCAATCACAGAGTAATGTTGCTTTAAATAGATTACGCGTTATGTCTGAATTCGTTTAATTCATTGGAAAATAGAAGAGGCGTTCATGTATTTTGCTAGCTGTGACTTTACAATAGAACAAAAATAACAATATGTTAACAAAACAAAGGACAACAATTATTATTTTCCTGTTTACGAGAGAGAGTTTCGTCCGATAATATTTTGTAGACAGTGAAGTTGCTGTCCCGTACACAAAATATATTGATGCAACTGGTTGAAATTAAAGTCCTTTTAAATTGCACAATTTATAATATTTTTTCCAAAAGTAATGCATATATTACAGCTCTATTTTCATTTATCACAGTTTAAGCATTCAGGGTTATTTTTATAACTGATCAAACCATTGTGTGTGGTAGACTAGCTTTAAGGTCTATTACTTCAAAAATACACATTAAAACAATCTAAAATTTAACTAGAATATTCAAGTACTTTCATATAATACAGGTTTCATTTTCATCGAGTGGTATGAAAATAGATATTTTATAAGTGGCAGTATCCATGAGATGGATATGATAATTTTCAAATTACATGTATCAAAAGATCAAAATAAATTCTGTAATCTTGAATTTTCTGTTTTTTTTTTATATACAATTTTCTCTTTTCTGATATTACATTCTGAAAGACGAACCCTTAAATTTTGTATTTTGTCTAAATTTAGAAGTAAGTAGTCCGGTGAGAAACCAGTGGAAATAAGAAAAATATGTTTTACTGTAGTGAAAAAAAAATTTGATAGTGAAAATACGTAGAGATGAATATACCCAATTGTTTTCATCAATATTCCTCAATATGTAATTAATAAGTAACTATACATATATATTTTTACTTTAAATTATTTGTGTAATAATAAGGTCCATGCAGTTGTTGTCATAAAAAGTAATTGGAAGATAAAAATTCTATTTATATAGAGAGATAGATTAAAATATTGTTGTTTCTGTTAAAACCTTAAATTTCCTGTTAAGACTAAATTTCCCCATGTTAGTGTAGACCAAGATAAGCCTGCATATCCTAGCCGTCGGATGATGGTCTGCACTGCTCGCTATTCGGTAAAATAATATTAATAAAATTTCCTTAAAGAATGGTGCATGATAATGTTCAGATACATGTTCTAAGATAGATATGTCTTTTCGGAATTGCCGTGAGGTGGAGATTATTAAATAAATAAATAAATTAGTTAATTAATAGAATAAATAAATAAATATTAAATAAATAAATGAATAAATAATATAAATATAAACAATTAAATATAATATGTATAACATTAAATAAGTAATTAAATAGTTAAACAAGCAAACGAACAAACGAACGAACGAACGAACGAACGAAAGAACGAGTGAGCGAGTGAGTGAGTGATTGAGTGAGTGCGTAAGTAAATGAT